ATATATATATATATATATATATATTAATATTACTTTACTTTACTATATAGAGATGATATACAATGTTCCTGATATTTTTTTAAATTGTATTTTTAAATAATGTTTTTTCTGGTAATAATCATGAAATATTATCATCATCGTAATAAGAATCATTAACAAAATTAAGGAGCATTTAGTATCACAACAATTTGTAACTAGATTAGTAGTATGTGCGGATTTTCTTTTATAGTGGCTTGATAGAGTTATACATGTATTAATAATGGTAGTATTAGTTAAGTATGTGTTAATAAATCAGATCTCATATACAGTTCTAAATAAAGACAATACTATGATTGCAGTGAATCTCAAATCAATAATTCAAAATTAACAACAAATTTATCGCAAGTTTTTCTAATCAAATGTAAATTTCATATTAACTAATCAAATCAATTAGGGACAAATATTCACATCTCAATATACATTTAACTGATTTGATGAAAGTGAAAAACGAAATCTGAATTTTAAACACCATTGTCGATAAAATCAGAATTAACTCTTATTTCTATCTCTGAAAACAAATTTATCTTGCTTGCTTGATTAATACCTTCAATAGCTTGATCAATTTTTTGAATTGTCTACAATGGAGCTATTTCGAGCGAAGGATAAGAAGACAGAATGAAACTGAATCTGAATTCGCGTGAATTATGAGATCTTTCCTTATTTATCTGCCGCCTATTTTTTAAAATAGAATAAAATTTGGAAGTGTATAAAAGAAAGAGATCTGCTTATCTGTTATACACAAAAAAAGACCCGTAGCAAACTTTCAATTTGCTACAAAACACAATTTTAAATTGTTTGCTATAGCATAAAATTAGCAATTTTTTCTTTGTTATATATAAAATTGCCCTTTTTATTTTTACTTAATCAAATATTTTACTCAAACTTTTTTTTGGACTTTATTGACTAAATTGATTCACTTTATGATCATTTAACTGATTCAAATAAATTGTTACATAATTTATTTTTAAAGCTTTAATCTTAGTCTATTCCTTTTTAGAAGTCTTAATCACTTTCAATTTATTTATATATTTAAATTATTTTTCCTTCTCAAAACTATTTATATAAAAAAAAAAAGGTAAAAAATGCTCTTAAACTATGTGAAAGGAATAAAATGACTCTCCATTAATAGCTTGGCTGAAAAATGCCCTTATCTTCAATACTTTGGTTCAAAAATATCACCCTTTGTAGTTTGATTTTAAAATGTTCTTGCCACCAATACTTTGGTCCAAAATGAGATGTTAAAGAGTAAAAATCACATATTATAAATTCATAACAACATAAGTATATGTGCAAAGTGACAATATCACAATGAGATATAAATATATAATAATACAATCAAATGAACCTCAAACACCTCATCTCAATGATCTCACATTTAGTTTCAATATAACCAAAAATAAATAAATCTACACAAATCTTTTCTAGATAATAAAAGGAAATTTTTGTACATAGCCACTATAATAAATTTAATTATGCTTCATAACTATAGTTTGCATATTTAAGAGTTGTAGCTACAATTTAAGTTGTTTCGTTTACATAATTCACGGGTTTGTATAATTAGCGGATGAATTTATAGAATTCACAAATATATTTGTATAATTGAGCTATTTGTAAGCTAATTAACTCGGAATATATACTATCAATTAAACATAACTAATTAACAATCATATTTAATTAAGAACAAAATATTTTTAAATGAATTTCAAATATTTACAAAAGGAAGTAATCATATATATATATCCCTAATTACATTTCTTGCATTTAATTTAGGTTGACATTAATTATATTTCTTTCTCTTGTTACACAGATATTGCTCTTAGAGATAAGAGCATTGTCTATGATTTGGGTCACCAAAGAATTGATTGGGCAGATCAAAATTGTAAGTTAAAAAAAATTTATAATATAATTTTTGATATTATTAACTTATCAAGAAAAAATTATTACATTATTGATCATTATTCACATTTTTTAATATATACATAGGCTCGTTACGAATGAATGTATCTATATCCTCCCGTACCCTAGATCAATTCATGAATGTTAGAGATGTACTCTTTCATATACTAGAGTCCATGCTCTACGTTTACTTATTTTGGTGGTGATATTTGGTTCCTACATTTGTCTTATATTATAATTTATAATTATGTCTACATTTGTAAATGTTATGGATTGAAGAATTGTGGATGATTCATGTCTACATCTAAGATATGTATTGTAGGTATATTTTTTCGATAGCTAACTATTATTAGCTCTTTCAAACTCTGTTTTACTTAGTTTTGTATATCATAAGTATTCTTCTCGATCTCTACTTGTATGATAATGGAGAGCGCATTGAGATCGATTAATTTTTAGAGTTAGTAAAGTAGGTGTATTGAGCTCGCATTATGCAATATCAGAAAAGGTTTTGATTAAAAATAAATGTCTCAATTTAAGCATGGGAGAAATTTAATTGTAGCATGTAAATATATTTTTAATTGGAGACCATTATTATCAAAATAAAGGACAGAAAGAAGAAAAACATAAGCTTTTATATCTGGTAATGCCTTATATTGTAAACTACATAAAACTGAAATTGAATTCCACTTCTATTTTTGTCTGTAGAAACTCAAATTCTTAAATTTGTAGTTCCATTAGTTTGTGCAAACTGAACTGGAGGTCGTTTACTCCCACAAATACAGTACATGCCGTTACAGTAATAGTCTTGTATATAGCCACACAAACGATAACAAACTGAGGGGTCTTTGTCACAACAACAAGGGGAAATATCTCGCGCTTCAGCCTTTTGCGAAAAACCTAACAAATAAAATTTTACAATTTATTAATATTATTATTTAACTTATAAATAAATAAGTTTTATATCAAAGAACAAAAAGTTTATAGAATGAACTTAAGAAATTATGGAAAACTGTATGATATTCAAGTACTATAAATATAAAGCGAATAAAAGACTTACATAGTCCTGTCATCATAAAGATGAGGAAAAAAGCCATTGCGTTGAAATTCATCTTAATTTTTGATGTAATGCTCAATAAGCCACTTGCAAGTAATTTGTGCGGATATTTGATGATGATGTTTATTTTCCTTTATGTCCTATTTATAGCATATTTAGTCAACAAATTTTTTAATAAAAGATGTTTCATGAATCTTGTGATATATTTCTCTACCATTTTTGGTCAATTACATTAAAGCAAACATGTCAATAATCAATTGAGATCGTAATGTATATGTATTGTACACATAGTCAACAATTTTTTTAGAAAAAAGACCTTTCGCGAATCTTGTGATGTATTTCTCTTCCATTTTCGGTCAATTACATTTAAGTAAGCATGACAATATTCAACTGAGATGTAACGTTTATATCTTTCACATATAACGTGCTCAGACTTTAATATGATTGGACATATTATTGCATTTTGACTTGTGACACAAATCAATTCATTTTTTATTTAACTTAGCATACAATGTCATTTGACACACACACACACACATATATATCATCCGTATACGATTATACACTATTTATTGAATATCAATACAATACATATACATGCAACAATTTAGATGTTTTTTTGTTTTTTTGGATGTATATTTTTGTATAAGAGACCCATCATTTTATTGGAGATTTATTTTGGTGTCACATGTCAAACTATATGGCATATTAAGTTAAATAAGAAAGTCAATAAAATCATGTCACATGTCAAAATGCAACAAAATGCCCAGTCAAAGCGTATTACATATTTAAGGCATGTCCGTTACAATCTCAATCAAATATTGACATGTTAAATTAAATGTAATTGCCCCCAAAAAAAGGGAGAGAAGTCCGCTACAAGATTCATATTGAATTGTTGAGTAAATATGCTATAAATAGGACAAAAAGTAAAATAAATATCATCATAAAACACCTGAAGAAATTACTTTCAAGTGGCTTACTGAGTATTACATCAAAAGTTAAGACATGACTTTCAAAGTATTTGCTCCTTTCCTCATCTTTATGATGATAGGATTTTATAAGTGTTTTACTAGCTTTAATTTTTTATAGTACCTGAATATAAAATAATTTTCTAAAAAATAATTCTAAGTTCATTTTATAAAGCTTCTTGTTTTTGGATATGAATTAATTTTTTAAGTTTATATATATATATATATATGTGTATATATATAAAATTAAAAAAAAATTATTTATAGGTATTTCACCAAAGGTTGAAGCAAGGAATATTTCCATCTGTTATTGCGACAAAGATCCCAATATTAGTAGATTTCTTTGTGGGTTCGATGATTTTTACTGTGAATGTGGGCAAAAACCACCTTTAGAACGGATTGCACAAAATAATGGAACAATAAATTGAAGAGTCAAAATTCTTGGGGACAAAAATAGAAATGAATTTCAATTCTTGTTTCTATGTAACTTACAACAAGGCAATAGTCAAATAAAAAGCTTACTATATTTTTGTCCTTTTCAATTTATGTGATTATTATTCAAATTTTGAGAGTTAGACAAGTTTTTTTCGTAATTTAAAATATGTACTGCTGTAATAGTCCTCACGATTCCATCATGGCATCGAACATTAACTGAACCAATACCAACTATTTTACAAGTTGCATTATTGCCTATCGCTCTCCTCTATGAAAAGGTTCTTCCGTAATCACTCTCAATAAGACATCCATTCCCCTTTCAAATGAAAAGAGAACTAGACTTTTCTCTTCATCATTGAAATCCGCCATTCAATCGCAGTGCGGTGCTCTCAAAAAGCTCAATCCTCTAAGGCTGAAAACAAGGAGAGCAATCAACGTTATGGCTACTTTAGGACAATTCCCGCCTTAGGTTAAGCATGTGTTAATAATATGAATATTGGTTTTGTATGCATGTATTAGTAATGTGTTAGTATTAGTTATGTAAGTATAAATAATGTGGTATTAGTCATTACACATATCAGTTATGTGAATATTAGTTATACAAATATTAGTTCTGTAGGTTTAGTTATACAAAAAATATTTCTTTGGGTGTTGGTTTTTAATATTAAAAATTAGTAAAATTATATATTTTTAAATTAAAACATTTATTTACAATCCTTTCCTTCTTTAACTTTGTAATTAAATTAAAACATTTATTTGATTATGTAGAAGAAAAAAGTAATCAAGTAGGAGTGATTAGGGTAATATTGTCATTTTAACTTTTTATTTGTGTATTAACTATGTATGTATCAATTATTTCACCTTTTACTTCGCATAAAATAATATATAAATTTTCTCATAACTTATACATGTATTAGTTATGTAAATTTCGAAATTGTCAATCAAATGTCGTATTAAATATATACATGAACAACTTTTTCTTATTCATCTATCAAACGTCGTATTAATTATATACATAAATAGTTTTTTTCTTATATACATACCAAATTTCGTATAAATTATACGGACTCTAATACATGAATAAGACTTATTTTATACAGCTACCAAACGACCCCTAAGTAATGCATGTATGAGCTCTTTTGGAGCAGTGTAATAAATCTATCATCAACCTAATCTGCTTTTGAATTTGTGATATAACAAAAATTTGTATTTATATGTATGTTTCTGAAAATCTTCATGTACCTTGCTCACTAAGTGTAATAAACCATAGGAGTCTAAAGCCGAAAGGGCAAAATATTGAGTGAAATTTCTAAAAGGAAAACAAAATGAATCTTAAATCAAAAGGGTAACATTTAAACAAAAGAAAAGACTACAAAAGTGATGTATAATTTTTTTAAGGGATATCCATTTACCTATTTTATCCTGGAATTACTATATCACCTAAGGGGATAACTTATCTTGATACTAATTATTAATTTTGAGATAAATTATTTTGGACTTGTCAATCAAATAAAAAATTAAGTGTCATTTTAATTAAATCTCAAAATCCTTAAATTTGTACAAATTGATCAAATAGACACATTTATCCTACGTGGCGTCCTACGTGACAATTTTGTATCCTACGCCTTGTCCTATATGTATTATGTCCTGTAGGACACATGTGCCTACTTGTTCAATGTTATACAAATTTAAATACTTACTAGAGCATACCCAAAGTTGGAGGACAAATATGTCAGTTGAAATCAAGTTGAAAGACTATTTATGTATTACTCTCTCTGTCCCTAATTACTTGTCCAATTTTTCTTTTTTACTTGTCTCTTTTTACTTATTCATTTTGACAAATCTAGAAAGAAGAATTTATTTTACCTATTATACCCTCAATGAAGCCGGAAGGAGTATTTTCTAGAAATACCAAACAAAAATATAAGTATTTATTACTCTATGTTTGTTTGAGAGATATTTGTGTCTCATGTCAACTACTCATTTGAATTATTGTGTTTCTTTAGTTAAGTGCAGAGGAACAATATTTAGTGAAGGAGCAAACGCAACCATGAGCGACCCTTTAGTTGGTACTGATGTTCAAGTTTTGCTAGAGAGGTTGTTTTCTCTCACTATTGAGGAACTCAAATTTTTAAGGAAGTTCAATAAAGTCTTGAAATATTGACACAAAATATATCTATGATACAAGCTTTCATTTATAATGTCGAAACACGATAAGTTGAGAAACAGACTGTGAAACTATGACTCAACAAACTTGAATGAGTTGGTGAAAATATTGAAAATGTGTTTGACGAATTTAGATATGAATCTCTCAAAACACAAGTGAAGATCACAAATAAACCAATAAAAAGGGTCAGTTATTTCATTTCTCATACAGCTTTTAAGAGAAAAATGTCTAGAAATAAAAACATCAATGAAGAGTTGAGGGCTATGAATCAGTTAGCCAACAAGCTCTGTAGTAGTTGCTTCCGATGTTGTTGGCAGAGACAATGATATTGCTGAAATAAAAGAGAAGATTTTAAACCTGAAAGATGATGTTGTTCTGTTAACGATTTCCATAGTGGGAATGGGAGGTTTAGGGGGAAAAACACTGGCGAAGAAAATTTTCAATGATAAACAGTTTGAGAAACACTTTGGAAAGAGAGTTTGGTTGTGTCTACCTGAAATGTCAGAAACGAAAAGCTTGTTAGAACTCATCCTCGAATCATTGACAAAGAGGAAAGTTGAGACTCTGAGCGGAGATATAATAGTCAAGATGCTACAAGATGAACTGGCAGGAAGAAGGTATTTGCTTGTACTCGATGATTTGTGGCGTGTTGACTCGACACTGTGACATGAGTTTGTGAACACCTTGCGAGGAATAAACACATCCACAGGAAACTTCATTCTTGTGACTACTCGTATGGAACTGGTGGCGTCCACAGTAGCAGCAGTAGGTCCTCATAGGTTGAAAAATTAGCAGAAGATCATTGTTGGTCAATTTTCAAACAAAGAACGATTGTGGAAGGGGAAGTTCCAGAGGTAATAGCGAGCATGAAGAACAAGATTGTTGAAATGTGTCAAGGTCTGCCTTTGGCTGCAAGTGTGTTGGAGGCCTCTTACGCAACAAGGAAAAACATGATTGGCAAGAAATTCTTGATGGTAACCCCCTTGTTGCAGGTGAAGATGATAATGGAGAAAATCGTATGAAGAAAATCCTAAAACTCAGCTATGATTATCTACCATCTCCATATCTAAAAAACGCTTTGCTTACTTTGCAATGTTTTCAAAAGATTTTGAGTTTGAAAAGGATCAACTTATTCAACTCTGGATGGCAGAAAACTAGTATTGTAAGTCACATGTGTGCATCTTTTGTCAATTAACAAGTTTTATTTTAAAAACCACATATATATTAAAAGTAAATGAATTTAATAGAGGAGAAAGATGTAAACCCACTCAGAGTAGGAGGCGGAAGAGAGCAATTGGCAAGTTGAACTGAAAATGGGATGTTGTGATCAGGAGTTCTTTCTGAATTATAAACAAGGTTTAGGCTTGAATTTTGTAATATTTGAGCGTTTTGGTCAAACTGATTTGGCTTTTGCTATCGAACTTTCAGAAAAGGCTCATTTATGCTATCAGTTAAAAGTTTGGCTCATTTATGTCATTACTGTTAAAGAAAAGGCTTATTCATACCATTTTTTTAACTGTGATTTTGCAAAACTATTTTTGA